ACACATTATCCTTGGATTAAATGTTTTTTACTTTGATGAAAGTCTCGTCAACAACGAGAATTTGCGCGTGGATAAAATCGACGCCATTTGTGACGACGCCATATTGTCGCCAAAAATCTCAGTTCCATAGGTATTGTAAATGACATATAGTTTACAATAGATTTCTTTTATTTTTCATATACATACGTGTTACCTATAGGGAGAGCTTCGAATTCGCTCTCACGGGCCCTTCGGGCCCGTGAGAGGGCTCCGCCCTCTATTATCTAGATTTAGTAATATTGCAAATTAATTTCATGAATTAATGCAAAGTTAGACTAAGGGAAATGGTCTTTTGTAAATTTTACGCTCTACATTTTGTATGTTTTGTGTGGCCGCTTTCGCAAATGCGTTTGTTTGCATACCTACGCAAGATACACAATGCTTGAACTAAGAGCAAGCTAGTGTACACTATACTGAATTTGTGACCGACTTAAGATCAGAAAACCTATTTTCAATATTAATAAATCAAAAACGTTTGACATGAAATTAGCAAGTATTGTAACAAAGCTTGGTATCATAAACGTATGTCGACCCACTATTTTTCCGTTAAAATCAAGCAAGAGGATACGCTTTCTTTGAATTTCTTTCAATTTGTTATATATATTTTTTGTTAATCATGTGATGGCTTCGAGGTTTAATTTCAATTTGAGTTCGTGTCTCTTGAATTTACAGATATAATTACATTGTATGGTGTCATCAGTATACACTCTTTTATTTTAAATATATCAATGATACGATGACATTACTGTAAAATCAAATATTTTCGTTGGGTCAACTTTTCGTGGTTTGAGTTATGCCTTTGCTTATTGGACAACTTTGCAAAGCTGCTGAGTTGAGGTGAGTCGGAGAAAAAAAGATTGAAACACAAAAAAGTAATAAATAGATTAAGAATGCCTTTTTGTACTAAACAAGAAAATATTTTTTTACAGATATAAGAGACTGCACTCTAGATTTTTTAGGACACGGGCGGCATTACTGTGAAGTGTTGTCTCTTTTATGTTCAGTAGCGTTGTCTGTAGCAAGGGCATTCTCCTCTAAAAGCCATGGGAACACCACTGTTGATATAAGAAAATTAATGTAAAATTTGATCTTTTATAAAATTCCTTTCCAATATAAAAATGCTTTGAAATGTTTGCAATTTTGAAAAACTTTAATCGAGTAGGAATAACTAATCTAGCTGTTTGAACAATTATCATTATTGTTGAATATTTCCATTCCATGTTAGGAAATTCTTTTATATTCTTTTTTATATATATACATGTACATGTTATGCCAACTTTTCATATAAAGGATATTGTTCCAGTTTATTTTTTTGTATAAATTTAAAGAATATAATGAAAGAATATTTAATAATTGATAATAACATACCCGCATGCCAGGCATTCAGTACTGGAGTACGTCTGTCCGTCTACACCACACACAGGATCCCATACTTGAATACAAAAACATCCACCATTGTTGAGATAATATCATACAAGGGAATTGAAATGTCTGATCCAACGTCTTATCTAATCTAATCTAATTTTCACATGCACCGATTTTTTTCTTAATTAATTGATGGAAAGAATAATAATTCACTCAAATAAAAGTCTCTTTTGATATATAATTACTTGATAGTGTCAAAGGTAAACTACGTACCGTGCAGATGAATATTATACATATATCACATGGCTTCGAGGGTGACATACCAGATTATTTGCCCCGAGGTGACAAGAAAGCCCTGGAGTGTTATGTCAACCGATGCCGAAGTCTTTCCTGTCACCGAGGGGTATATATTCTGGTGTAGTCGCCCGAAAGACATGTGATATATATTAAATGGCAATTTTAGAATGAAAAAACTTAATCATTTAAAATCGTTAAAATTTACACAATTCAACAAAAATGCTTTCTTGACGTTAATAATAATGCTCTGATTTGTACTTTTGCTTAGCAACCTACGTCATAAAATCGCGAGCCCGAACTAAAATGCGTAACGTAAAAACACGTGAACGTGATTGAGAGGGTGACATAACTGCTTCCATCGGGGGACATTACTATTTTTGTGTGATTCAGCATTTTTCAGGGTTTATAGCCAAACCCGTTACATTTGTGACATAATAGGAAAACTTATCTAAAAATGTTATATACAAATTTGTAAGTATTTCATTCACTTTATTCAATACATCTAATATACAGATATGAATAAACGAATAAAAATGTATAGATAATCAATATTTATACCATTATGTACATTTATGATCCTGTAATATCGTGGAAGGAAATTTTTGTAATTACAAATAGTGAGAGCCTTTTATTGCCTTAAAAATCTTGACAATCTTACATCATTGCCAAAGTAATGTAGCTCATTTGTTTTGAAAGATATAATAAAAAATGAAACAAAATATCCATATGTGAAGAGATATTTATATATTTAACTTCTAAATACATAAGAACATGACAAACTTAATGAAATAATAGAAAAAAAACATCAATATAAATACGTTATATGCTATTCTATAATATAAAAGCACTTTACAAAAATACAAATATTGGAATTTTTCAACTCTTCGTTATTTTCTTCTTCACTGTTCATTGATTGCAAATCCATTTTGTAATGTAAAAGAAAATTTCTCAGGTAAAACTAGAAAAAAAATGTTTTTAGTATCATATTGAATACTTGGTTATCGCAGGACTAATTCCAATAATACCTGTATATACGAGCGTAACATAAAACACTGAAACTTAGTCTAAAGTAGGTAAAAATTTGTGAGGAGTTAGTTGTTGATTTATGGCATTTGTCTATTTGAATTCTTTGCTTGAAAATTCATACGCTTCACCTTGAGAATGCAGTGTTCAAAACCTTGACATAAATTTGAATGAAAAGGTGTTGCATTTATACATGATTTTTTTTGTCTGAAGCTTATTGTATGTTAAGTAGATGTTAATCATTATCATTTGAATTTTACTGTCGTTTTAGGTTTATGTAAAATATTCAGCCAAATCAGAACCATTCTCTTTAATTCCCTTGCTTAATGAAAAGAAAAGGTATTCTTCCGTGTTCACAACGTCATTTAGATAGTCGGAACACATTTTCATAAAACATTTAAAATAAAAATTAGCTATTGAATTGAGATAAATGCCTGTCAACAATAAATTTAGAAAAAAGTTAATATGAGTTAATTGCTTTATTTTTTCTTAAAACATTTAATTATTTTCATCCATGTTTATATGCATTGGCAAAATGCCACAGTGAAATGCACATCAACTTTATTTACAAAGTACCGAAATCATGCATTTTGACACTTGCAAATTAACAACATTTTATCTTACATAAAATACATGATAAATTGTACATTATAAAAATTGTAACAATCAAATCATTAAGCTGAACAAGACAACTTAATAGAGCAATAAGTAAAATTTTACTACACAGAAACATGCTTACAAAAATCATTTTAAGCATAAAGTGATTTTAGAGACGGTGTGTGATGTTATGTAATGTCGTCAAATGTCCTGTTTAGAACATATATAGTATCGTCCTATCAAATGACAAATGATAACTATTAATGAGATAACATAGGCTAGTCCCTTTTTTCAAAAAGTTAAGAGATGTTAATGTTATAATAAGAAAATGTTGAAAATAGGGTATATTACAAATCAACTGGCACTATAAAAAATTATTTATAAGCATAAGTTTTTATCTAGATTAAGTAATATTGTAAATCAATTTCATAAATTAATGCATAGTTTGACTCAATTAATTGGTCTTTTTTGAAATTTTAGGCTCTATTTTGCCTATTTCTGTGACTGCTATCGCAAATGTGTTTGTTTGCAAAACTACACAAGTGACCGTATGCTTGGACTTAGAGCAAAGTAGTGTGCACAACACTGAATTTTAACCGAATCTAAGATTAAACTTATTTTAAACATTAATAATTCAGCAACGATTGAGTTGAAATTAGCAAGTATTGTCACAAGAGTAATAAGCTGTCAAAATACAAGTCGAACTCTTAGGTTTCCATTATAACCATTCAAGAGGATATGCTTTCCTCATACACAGCCAATTGTGCCTAACGTTAATTTAACATGAAAATAACGTTAATTTAACGTTAAATATTTAACGTTAAATTAACGTCAATCGAGCTTATACATGAATTTAACGTTAAAAAATTAACGTTTAATTAACGTTATTTTCATGTTAAATTAACGTTAAGCGTTAAATTAACGTTAATTCACACATATTTAACGTTAAAATGCAAAAAATTGTGTGCATATTTTTGGAATTTTCCTTGTTATTCTTCAAGACAAATACATGTTATTGCCTCATAGCAGAAGATTTAATGATACTACATGTAATTATAATTATTTCTCTAAAGGTACACCAGAAGGTCATCAATTTTGCACTTTTCCTTTTAGCACTGCAGAAAGCTAAGCTTGCATGTTGACTTCATCCCCGGGGTCACTTTCTTTTCAATTTGAATATCCAAAAGGGTAAAGGGACCTATCAGCTCTTTCAACAAAATCCCTCAATTTCTGAGCATTGCCTTTGATTTCAAATTTCTGAAGAAAACAGAAAAACACCAATTCATCCATTAATACTTTTAATCAGGCATCTTCAATACAATGCTACAAATCTTCTTTCTTTTCCCAATCTGAAAAAGAAAAGAGGCAAATACTTATATTATAATAATTATTTGAAAAACACAGATCAGGTAAGTATTGAAAGGCTTACTTAATACTTATTGGGGGAGGGGGATTTGAATTTTCTATTACTTGAGAATGTCACTATTACAATACAGCATACATGTATTTTTTTGCCATACTTGAAAAGAAGATTTTTAAAGATTTTTCCAATACATTACCTGATCTCCCATTGTCACCCCTTCTTAACCCCCAATCCCTGGGGCATTATTTGAATAAATTTAAATTTTCACTACTTGCAGATCATGTCAATTTGACCAAACAATTTTTTTTTGTTCTGGAGAAGATTCTTTTTCCTATGTATTCTTATGCAAATCTGTGATCCCTCATTGTGGCCACACCCTAACCCCTGGGGTCAAAATTTGAACAAACTTGAATTTACACTACCTGAGGATGATTCCACATAAATTTCATCATTCCTGTCCCAATAATTCTGGAGAAGATTTTTAAAAGGTTTTTCCTATGCATTCCTATGTAAAACTTGGATCAGCCCTAACCTCAAATCAAATTTGAATCTACACAACCTTAGAATGATTCCACATAAGTTTTATTTTTCCTGGCCCAGTAGTTCTTGAGAAAAAGATTTTTCCAATATATTCCAATATATTTACATTTGCAAATGTTTTTCCTTTATATAACACTAATAAAAGCAAGCGTATCTATAACTGTATAAATACCGGTACAGGGGTCATGAGGTCATGAGGTCATAGATGTGCGTATTGATAAATGTTCAACATAATTTCTCAGTGACGTCATAAAGGTTCGACACACGTTCAGTGTATTGCATACAGGCCATTGGTTTTGAAAAATAATGCATTTTGCATGTTAAAAGCCACAATCAGGCAAATATAAAGTATGAATAATTCACAAATGTAAATGATAGGTAATAAGGTATCATTTTAAAATATCCAACGGGCTATAAATACGGGTTGGTACGAGATTAAATTCATTATAAAGCCCTTCAGGCTTTATGGAATTTAATCTCGTGAGTTGTGACCAACACATATTTATATCCTGATAGATATTTAAAAATACCTCATTTCTTAAGTAAGACTGAAATTCCATTGTAGCCCCACCCTACCCCAAGGGGTTGAAGAAGTTGAAAGTACACTACCTGATGATGCTTACTTTTAAGTTCCATTTTTCCTAGCCCAGTGGTTTTTGAGAAGAAGTTGAAAATGTGAAAAGTTTACAGAGGGACGGACAGATGTCGAACAAAATGTGATCTGAAAAGCTCACTTGAGATTTCGGCTTAAGTGAACTAAAAAGCTACTAGTATTTAAAAACTATATACTTCCATATATATTACTATACAGTGAGACTGGGAAACAGACATTGTGTTTCCAGTATACTTTAACAAAAATTTAGGGGTGACATATTCAATGGTTTTAAATATTTGATGTGTTCAGAGTAAATGCACTTTACCTGGTATTTTGAAGGTCGCTTAAGATGATGAAATATATTCACTTTCTTCTGATTATCATGTTCATGACAACAAGACTTTATACTGAGTAAACCTACAAAAATAAAAAAATAATAATTAAAAGTTACATCTTCAACATATTCCTAGATAGAAACCAAATTTTGTGTGTAGCGTCTAATTTAAAGCAAAATTTAGTACAGTGAAAGCAACAAGGCTTTAATTTTGTCTCTTTAGCATAAACTCTAGATCAAGTTATAAAATTTTTCTAAATGAAATTTATGAATACACTATGTATATACTATTTTATAAATAACCTTTATTCCTGGTTATCCTGCATTTCTGAAAAACATCAATTCAAGGAGGCGCCAAGGAATGGTATATAGAGGCTGTAGTCGGCTCTTTTCTCCATGTCTTGCATACAAGTATCTTTTCTGCATTATGCAGTAGAAGAAAAAAAACATCTTGATTTAATAGTGCTCATAAAATGTTTCTGTACAAACATTGACAAGTGTCAAGTAGTGACAATTAATTAAGTACTGGTATTTAAAAAAAATCAGTTAGGGTGTTTAAATGTAAATTTCACTGTCTGTGTCATTACATTTACCGTGGGAATTGTTTATATTTTTCCACTTTTAATACCTGTTTTGTGTTCCACTGGCATTATATAATTTAGGAAGCTAGTCCGACTTGATCCATTTCAGAAGTGCGAGGCAGATATGGCACCAAGTTTCAGCTGTTTAAAATACAATAAAAAAATATTAAATAGTTTTTTCTCGTCAATGATGAAACCAATTAAGATGAACTGTTAGTGTTTGGATGGCTAGGTTCGCTAATTGCCAATTACAACACCGAGTTCACACAAACACGTTTATTCAATATGGCGCTAAAACTAAAACTAAACAGGTACATATTCAGTCGTACATGAAAAGGTTACACATACACTAGATAGTTCGTACGATAACACATTTACTAAACATCTCCCCTCTAAAGGTTTATGGCTAGGATTTCACAGAAAATGACTAGAATAAAACATTAGCTACAAATAAAACTAATCTTGCATGCATTACTTGTTACATACAAATCAGATCATTATTACACAAAGAGTTCACAAATGTTCATTTGTAGTCTTTGAATCTGATGGGTTTGTGAATGACGCGTCCTGAACGAGTTACGGTTTTGGACTTCACGGAAGGAGATGCAACTTCCTGGCTAGGCGGCTCAGAGGGTGGCTCAACATCAGATGAAACACTTGGCTTACTGTCGGTTAACGGATACGGCACATTTACGGTATGTGGCAATTCGGTGTTCATGTATCCAGTATGCTGCAAATGCCTCCGATTTCTCCTCAATATTCCATGATCGGTTTCCACTAGGTATGATCGAGTTTTGTAATTTGCACTAGTGATTGTGCCACTATCTGTCCACTGTTTCTCTTTGTCGGTCTTGATGCGAACTTGGTCTCCGGGTCGAAGCGGGTGGAGTTTCCTAACCCCAAAACGGTTGTCATCATGAAATTTCGAAGTTTCCTTCGTTCGTGCGTCCTGTCTCCTCACTTGGTCCAAGTCCGGCCACTTTGGTGCCAATGAAGACGGTTTGACTGGAACAACGGTTCGAATCCTCCGTCCCATGATGAGTTCGGCTGGACTGACTCCCGTGGTTGAGATGGGTGTTGAACGGTACGCCATAAGCGCAACAAAGATGTCATCCTGCTGTAGTATACGCTTCGCGGTCTTAACAGCGCTTTCCGCCTCGCCGTTTGCTTGCGGGTAGTGAGGACTGGTTGTTGTATGTGTGAATCCGTACTTAGCTGCGAACTTCTTGAAAGAGTCTGATGTAAACTGGGTGCCGTTGTCGGTTACCAATTCCTCTGGAATACCCCAACGAGCCAATATATTCTTGAGTTTTCCAATTACATGAGCACTAGTCAACGAATCCAGATACGCAATTTCCAGATAACGAGAAAAATAATCTGTAACTACTAGGAAATGTCTACCCTGCAGCTCACACAGATCTGCAGCTATCTTTTGCCACGGACGATCTGGAAGGACTGTAGTCTTCAAAGGTTCTCGGTTCTGTTTCGGTTGATGAACAAGGCAGAATTTGCAGGACTTTACGGTACGCTCTATATCGGTTGATATTCCTGGCCACCATACAGCTCCTCGTGCGCGTTCACGGCACTTGTTCAGACCTAAGTGTCCTGAATGTATGTCTTGCAATGTTTCTGGTCTAAGAGCCTCCGGAATAACAATTCGGTCTCTGTACATTAGAATTCCATTCCAGACAGACAGTTCGGATCTTGCGGAAAAGTATGGTCGGATTTCTGCTTTCAGTGATCTCTCATGGTCTGGCCACCAGTTCTGAGTCTTCTTCAAAACTTCAGACAACTCTGGATCATCTGCTGTAGCTAATCGAATGCGCTCTAGTCGTTGATCTGATATGGGAAGATTCTCTACGACACAGTCTACATAGAGATTGACTTCCTCCTCTGTATCCTCAGTGTTTCCAGTTAGCGGACTCCTGGAAAGAGTGTCGGGAACCACGAGATTTTTCCCCGGCACATGTTCTGCTACTGGATTAAATCTGCGTAAACGCATCAAAAGTCTCTGACATCTCACAGGTGTCCTATCTAGAGCTTGAGTGTTAATGAGCGGAACGAGAGGTTTGTGATCAGTGATGAGCTTGAACGAATCGAGTCCGATGATGTAGCGCTCGAACTTCTCACAGGCCCATACAGATGCTAAACACTCCTTCTCGATCTGTGCATATTTGGTTTCTGCCGGTGACAGTGTCCTCGATGCAAACGCAATAGGTTTAAGTTGACCATCAAACTGCTGAAATATAGCGGCTCCTAGGCCATAACTGCTGGCATCTGCACTAATCACGACTGGCTTTGAAGAATTGTAGAAGGCTAATGCAGGTGTTTCTGTTAGCATATCCTTCACCCTTTTGAAGGCCTCTTCCTGGGGGTTGTCCCATATCCATACCGAGTCACTCTTCAAAAGATCAGTAAGGGGGTGCATAACCGTAGAAAGGTTAGGTAAAAATCGACCAAGATAATTCACCATTCCAAGAATTCTCTTAAGTTCAGTCACATTTGTTGGTGCAGCCAACTCACGTATTGCACGCACACGTTCTGGACATGGACTGATACCATCTGAACTAATCATGTGTCCAAAATATTCAATGCACTGTTTCCTGAACTCGCATTTCTTCTTATTGAGTTTCAGACCAACTTCCTTGATACGGTCCAGCACGCGGTCCAGACGCTCGTCATGCTCCTCCACCGTACTCCCATATATGATGATATCGTCCATAATAGCGTCCGCTCCGTTAATATCTGCTAATATCTCTGACATACGATGCTGAAATATTTCAGGGGCTGACGTAATACGAAATGGAACCCGCTGAAAGCAGTACCGTCCAAACGGAGTTACGAAGGTAGTAAGGTGACAACTCTCTGGATCTAGAGGTATCTGGTGAAACCCACTACTAGCATTAAGTTTCGAAAAGACTGTAGCCTTGCACAGTTTTGGGGCAATGTCGTCCAAGTTGGGTAACATATAATGTTCACGTTTGACTGCCTGGTTTAGTTTCTTAAGGTCCACACACAAGCGAACATCCCCGTTTTTCTTGAATGCTGTCACGATGGGTGCACACCAATCCGTTGGTTCTGTGACCGCCGCAATGATTCCAGCGTTCTCCATGCGGTTTAGTTCGGCCTCGACCTTGGGCATCAATGGAAATGGAATCCTGCGAGCTGTTGTGACACAATATGGTGTGGCTCCAGGCTTAAGCGTTATCTTGACAGGTGGGCCCTTGACGCATCCATGTGTACCAAACACATCCCGAATTTCCTCGATTTTCATAACAAGTCCCATACGGTGTGCGACACTTCGACTGAGCAAATTAGAACCACTGTTAGAGTTCTTAAGCACATACGCTCGAAAATGAAACTCGTTGTTCTTGTGAAAAGTCTTAGCAACGAACATCCCTTTACACTCTACCGATCCTCCTGGGCTGTACAGCTGATTAGTTGAAGCCTGTAGTTTGGGCTTTACTGGCAATGAATTGTACGTCGCTTCGGTTATCACAGATGTGTCAGCACCAGTGTCGATCTTGAATGTAATGTACTTCCGACACACCTTCAGCTTTACTGTCCATGCGTCTGTATTGTCCGACTCGCTTAGGTCAATAGAACCCATGTAGAATGAATCAGGTGATGAACATGCACCTTGAACTTCCTCTATGTGTTTGGGTTTACTTCGACAAACTATCTTAAAGTGTCCTTTTTTCCCGCACTTTAAACATTTCTTCCCTGATGCTGGACAGTTTCCAGGATTGTGCTTCATATTACACTTGTCACAGTTATTGTAAACTCTTTCCTTAGCTTTAGGCTGTCTGCTGTAATTATGTTCCCCAAACGAAGTTGGGGAACATATTGTTTTTACTCTGTTTCTTCTTATTATTATTATAATGTTCCCCAAACAATGTTGGGGAACATATTGTTTTTACTTTTTCTGAATTTTTTCTTTGTTCTCCGGTACTTTTTTGTCCGCGAGTGTTCTCGTAAACTACTCATCCGATCTAGGTGAAACCTTTTTAGGGTCACTAGGTATGTTATGTAGATGTGCGGAACGAAGGTCATTTTGCGCGCACGTGCGTGCAGGTGCGCGCACGTGTAACACGTGAAATGACCAATATAATAGATTTAGCCGTAACTTTTTAAATATTGGATGAAATGCTTTGAAACTCAAAATATAAGGATATAATAGTAGTATAGACATGATGACATGGTCAAAATAGCAAGATCTCACGCGCATGCAGGTGTCCTTCGCTGCGATTGGCTGAAACTTAAAGTCTAAATATCTATTTTGTTTTCTGACAAAATCCTTTGAAATTTTGAACATAGTCTTACATTATGAAGATCTACAACATGATATATAAGAATAA